GAAGGAAGGAAGGAAGGAAGGAAGGAAGGAGAGAAGGGGGGAAGGAAGGAGCAGTGGTCACATGTACCATCTATCTGCCTCCAATGGCTGACACTACCCAATCCTTGTTTCCTTTCTCTCCTCTGAGCCTGCTAAGGTGCCATTTGTTTTCTTTTACGTCCCTGTTCCCCTCTCTCAGAACTTCTCGGCAAGAAGGCATGTGCCCAGGCTGGCATGGTGGGCCAAGACAGCTGCAGGACCTCCCCCTAGCTCTTCCTTTCCCGTCCTCCAGTCCTGCCCCGGCAGGCCCTCCCCTCCCCACCCTCCCCCTCTGACTCCCTGAGACCTGCTGGGAATTAGAGGTTTGGCTGAGCCCTGGTAGCACTGCCCTGCCCTGACTTCTCTGGTAACGGAGCCCTCTCTCCTGGCTCAGGTCCTGGTCATCCTGATGGATGTGTTCACGGACGTGGAGATCTTTTGTGACATTCTAGAGGCGGCCAACAAGCGCGGGGTATTCATCTGTGTGCTCCTGGACCAGGGTGGCGTGAAGCCGTTCCAGGAGATGTGTGACAAAGCCCAGATCTGTGATACTCATCTCAAGGTAGGGGCCCAGTGACAGGCAGGTCTAAGGGTACCCGTATCCATCAGATAGGACCGTGGCAGCTGGAGCCCCATGCCAGTATCTCAGGAAGGCTCTATATAGGTCAACCAGCCCTCTTCTGTCTTCTGCTATACCCTAAGGGTCATGCGGTTGAGAACGAGGACTGGAAAGTTCTAGAGGACATTGTTAAGCCCTGAGCTGGATGAGATGTCCATTTTTACCTAAATCCTTTGACCTTGAAAGAATGGATGGATGGATAGGGCCTGAGAAGTTTCAGGGCACCACCAATACCCAGTAAGCATTTTCCTCTCCTCCTCTCAGGGTTGGAAGCAAAGTTGGTTCACCTCACAGCACAGGGCAACCCCCAGGACCAGAAGGTGTGTGTGTCTAGAACTCCCTGAACCCAACAGAAAGTTGATGTTTTTCGTTTAACTAGATACTCCTCTAGACCCAGACACACACTTCCTGCTCCAGGCAGGAAGAAAGGGAACACAGAGATAAGACTTTAATGAGTCATGCGTTGACTAACACAACAGCATTGAGTCCAAGTCAAAGGGAAAAGCAGCCATAGCTTTCATGAATAAGTCTAGCTAATGGATGGTCCTATGGGCTCCTTTTATGTTCCTCCTCCAGCTCGGACACATCTGTCTCCAAAATACTGCCCTCCCCACCCACTGACTGGGAGGCAGCTGAGTTCAGGGATCACTCCCAAAGCCCCTGACTACAACCAGTCACTCAGGACCTGCCTGGCATTCCCTAGGCCTCTACTTCTTGGCAAAAGGTCATTATAATGGATTAAGAGAGTCAATGCAGGCCTTGCCTTCCTGGACCACACCTACAGAGCAGTGGGTGTGTCCTCTTGCCACTGAGATGCTGGGAGGTGCTTCTAGAGGGCCTGGAGTGCCCTTCCCAGAGACTGGGAGCCAAGGACAGGCGCTGGTGGGGTCCTGGCAGTATTCCACAACCCTTGGCCATAAGGCTAAAGTAAACCCCCACACATCCCCTGCTTTGTCGTCTCTAAAGTCTTCTATGGAGTCTAACTGAGGCATGGGCTCCAGATGCTGCCAGGGAGACAAGATACTGAGTTAGGACTGCGATTGTGAACACACCTTTTCTCCAAATGGTTCAGGGTCCATGGGGCCTTCACAACACTGCCGCCTCTTGTCACACTGGAGCAGCTCTCTGAGCAGCTTAGAGTAAGGAACCCATGCCACTAAAGCCACCTATGGACTTGCTCCTTGATAATGCAAACCTTTTGTGGTCTATGAAGGCCTAGACTAGGGCTCCTTGGTCATCAAGCCCTTGTGTTTCCTTTATTTGCTGTCTTATTTTCATTGGAATTCTATCCTTTTTTCCCCATTACGTCTATTGCCAGAGCAATGGGGGAGAAAAAACTTAGAAAACTAGGCCAACAAAGAATGTAAATAAAGCAGAATCTCTCCAAGCTTAGATAAAATCTTCGTGAGCATCCTTCCAATTTCCTATGCAAATTGTCTCGGTGTGTTGGGGCTGCTATAGCAGACTGTCGTAGACTGGGTGGCTTATAAACAACCAAGATTTATTTCTCACAGTTCTGGAGGCAGAGAAATCTAAGATCAAGATGTCTGCAAAGTCAGTGTTGGGTGAGGCTTTCCGCCTTGTTTGTAAATGCCTGGCTCGCTGTGTCTTCTTCATGTGGCATGTAGCTTGGGGAGCTCTCTGGCCTATTACATAGGGCACTAATCCCCTTTACGAAGCTCCACCCTTATGAGCCAGTGGCTTCCCAAAGGCCCTGGAACCACTACATTGGAGATTAGGTTTCAACATTGAATTGGCGGGGGTGGGGGAGGGGCATGTTCAGTCATAGCCTGCATCTTTATTGATAAACACAGTGAATGACACTCTCGCTTTACTTCAAACAGAACATTTCTATCCGGAGTGTAGAAGGAAAAGTGTATCGTGCCAAGTCAGGCAGGAAATTTGTTGGCCAAATCCAAGAGAAGTTTATCATCTCAGACTGGAGAGTTGTCTTATCCGGATCATACAGGTGAGGACTGGCTTCCTAGCCGTGATGGGCTGAGTGAGGCGCTAGCTGGACCCCAGAGGTTCCCAGGGTGTACATCTTCTCTCTGTCCCCAGAGGTCATCAAATAAATGGAGCAAGCAGCGAGAACTGTGGCCCCTTCCTGGTACTGAAATCAGACACAGTACCAGGAAGGGGCCCCTTGGGAATTGTTAGAAAGCAATGCATTTGTTTTGTTGTGTGTGGCATGGTCCGTTTTAGTTTTATTTTTTTATTTTGTATGTGTGAGTGCACACACGTGTGTAACGTGAGGGACTGTTCATGGAGCCAGAGGTTGTTTTGTCTCACCTTATCTTATGAGACAGCGTTTTGTTGCGGAGGTTCTTTCCTGCCTGGTCCTGCCGCCCTTCTCAGCCCCAAATGAACACATAGAGACTTGTATTAATTATTAAACTGTTAGCCACGGCTAGGCTTCTTTTTGGCTAGCTCTGTCTTAATGATTAACCCATAACTAATAATCTGTGTATTTCCCCGTGGTCTCAGCTTACTGGAGAATGCCCGGATCTTTGGCGACTACATGGTGACTCCTTTGGCGGCCTCTCTTTGCCTACCTTTCCCAGAATTCTCCTAGCTCCACCTAGCTCCCTCCCTCATTGGCCAGATAGTGTTTTATTCATCAAGCAATAAGGGAAAGATGTATACAGAAGGACCTCCCCCATCAGGGTTTCTCACTGAACCTGGTAATCACCAAGGTTGCACTGGCTGATGCGGGAGTTCCGGGGATCTTCCCAACTCCACCCTCCCTGGGACACATGTGACCACGCCTGGCTTTCTCACCTGGGTTCAAGGGGGTCCCAAGTGAGGCCCTCCTTGGTTACCTAGTAGGCTGTTTACTAACTGACACATCTCCTGCCCTCTAAACTTCTATTATCTCAGTGCAACGGATCTATTGAGATTTATTGATTCACACACAGTGCACCAATTTCATTGTGCAGTTTGGTTCTCCTTAGCTTATTTACATGCTGCTTGACCATTATCAACACAGCCGGTTATCCTCAGGAAGAGCCCCCTTT